GAATTTTTATCTTAAAATATTAGATAAAGAAATAATATTAAATAAAATAATCAGAAATGATTTTTATCTGCAAACAGAAAAATAGTTTAAATATACAATCAGACACGGAGTTATTAAACAAAGCACTTTTTATTTGAAAATAACTGAGTTTTTCTCTCTTTAAGAGCAAAATATCTCTGTTATTTATAGTTTAATTCGTGATTTGTTTTAGCTTAACTTTGTTTAGATATACCATAACATTTAGACAGGTGACACGTATATTTTATAAGCTTAATGAATATCTTGTAAGTTTTTGAAATTAGTTGTTGTTTATGACTTTAATGTATTAGATTATTATTTCTTATCAACACTTTATTATTTTTTTAATTATGTTAACAATGAGATATTGATTATATTTGTACATTGCGTCGGCAAACTCAATGAGTTCGTTCAATTTGCATTGAAAAGGATCGAAGCTAGATCAAAACATATATATAAAAACTAATAAATCTTATTACGCATCGATATCCTGTTTGGCTCCAAAAGGCATCAACTTATGGACTAAAGATTCGTCTGTAATGAGCCTATTTACTACTAATATTTAATTTTTAATAATATGTTTATACAAGGTGTTGGAAAAATAATGATAAATCTTTTGCATAGGGGCAGAATGGAATAAACTGAGAAGAAAAGTCCTTTACTATTTTACAATTTTCACAAGATATTAATAATTAGCAAGATATTAATTGCTAAAAGTTACCGCAAATTAGTTTTTAATAACTTTTTATTCAAATACTATCAACTTTATTTTTTTTTAAATTGCAAGAAACGAAAATTGTTTATTTTCTTCTCATAAAACTCTACGAATTTTTTTAGAATTTTTTATCAACTTTTTAGTAGATACTACATTTTCTCATTTTTACCAACATAAATACCAATAAGAAAATACGATATTAAAAAATTCTGAAAAAATTTTTAGAACTCTATGAGAAAAAAATAATCAATTTTTGTCTTTTGCAGTTTTTCTGTAAAGTTGATAATACTGGATATCTCAAGCTACCCGTATACTCCTTTTATCTCGGAAACAGAACATTTTAGAAGAAAACGTTTCAGACAAAAGTTGTGGGGTTTTAAATGGTCTATTTAGTCATCTGATCAATCTGACCTTGGGTGGCGTAATCAAGGTCAGAGCAACGTCACTTTAAATTTTTTAAATAGTACCTCCATTTTTTATTGCATATTCTTGTAGCACACTTCGAGAACTTTCCAAAGTAATATAATAAAATAATTTTTTCATAAAGTACTTTTCGAGTTATAAGGCTTGAAAGTTATAGTACCGTCAATATTAGCATTACGCATGATCCGACCGACGGCTAAAACCATTTAAATGTTGTTTAGGACTATGTCCTGATCCCGTCGATCGGACATCTTGCGTAGTGCTAATGTCGGCGGTACTGTAACTTTTAACCCTTATAATTTGAAAAGTACTTCAGGAAAAAATATTTTATTATATTGTAATGTTTTGAAAAGCTCTAGAGGTGTGCTATAAGAATATGAAATGAAAAATAGAAGGTTCTATTTAAAAAATTCAAAGTGATATTGCTCTGACCTTGGTGGCGCCACCCAAGATCAGACTGATCAGATCACTAAATAAATCATTTAGAACCCCATAACTTTTCTGACGCATTTTTTTCTAAAATGCTTTGTTTCCGAGATAAAAGAGGTGTACGAGTGGTCTGAGACACCTTGTATTTGAGCAAAGTATTATTAAAGACCAATTTTTGACAGTTTTTAATAATTAATATCTTGTTAACTATTACAAAAATTTCAAAATGGTAGAGAACTTTTCTTCTTAGTTTAGTCCAGTTTCCCTATGCGAAAGATTTATCATTATTTCCCAAACATCCTGTATATATTATATACATATATATATATTATATATATCTAATTATTAAGTGTTTGTATTAACAAACGTATAGTTAGTCTACTTGATTTTAAAAACGCGTTATTACCCGACTTAAGTTAGGAATGATACACTCCTATTGTCATTTGCCAGCTTCAGTGTTAGTTACTATTAAGAGCATAGACATATAGCATAGACCCAGCTTCCATATACTTTTCTATATGCTGGGTTTGGCAAAACAGTGTGAGAGGCAAAATATTGGGGCAACCTATTCATCTATGCGCGTGTATCTTAACATTTATATCAATAGAAAAAATAAAATAAGATAAAAGTAAGGATAATATTCAAGAATTCTAGAAATCAGTGAGGAAGGTAGATTTCTTGAATATTATCAAAGTAAGTTTACTGTCAAGATGTACGCGTAGAGAATAGGTCACTCCGATATTTTAGCTCTCGCACCG